GCTGCGAGGGCCGCTTGAGGCTCCGCGGAGCTTTAATTGTATTTATTATCCTAAACTGGTAGATTATAAATCTGTTTTTGTGGCATTTCACGGTCCATTTATCAGTTTTGTAGCTTGTAGCAAGTTTTAGTTTATAAAACTATATGATATATTTATAATGCTGCTGTAAGTATAATCCCATAACAAGAAAATTAATTGCTTCTCTTTGGAGCATCGATTCGCACAGTATTTCTTTTGTTGTGAAAACTTTTCTAATTATGTGCAAGTAGTTTTGGTTGCCATTAGTGCCTAATAACTTGTTGATGTTAAGAAGTATTGCACCTTAAATTATACGTATAACATAATATGTTTTAAAGTACCAGTGGATGTTGTTATGAGTATGTTTTAAGCATCACGTTCACCACTTTGGCTACATTTTGCACCCGTCTTTAAACAAACTGATGAAGTGCAGTCACTTGACTCTGTTGTCTTTCTGTTGTCCTCTCAGAAACGTTGGAGACTGTGTGTCTAAGTGTATGTGAATGAAGCATGTGTGAGAGGGAGACGATGCTCCATTAGTTCTTTCATTGGTATGAGGAAAGTCCATCTTCTGCTCCAGAGCCAATGGGCTACAGCTGCAGAGTACCTCTGTTTTCCCGTTTTATGAGCTGAAACACTCATTACATAAGTTATTTTGAAGAGAAGATTCTGGGAAATGAGCACAAAGCTTACCTTGTCCCACTGTCTCTCTCTGTCCAGAGTGATGACTATCATGGCTGGGTTCACCAGGTAGCCATTACTGTTGAAGGAGAAGTCATTGTGCTCCCATGTTACATTCAACATGTGTCTGAAGGAACAGAACAAACAAAAGATCATGATCAGTGACTTAAAAAGGCAGCTAGATAAACATAGAGCTAAGAGCGCATTCTTAAATTTAATTTTTGTAAATATAGGCAAGATATTAATGTTCAGCTGTAGTAGAGTTGTGAAGCATTTAATCGAAATGCTACACATCGAATAAGGATGCATTCCCACCAGCCCTGTTTGGCCTGGTTTAATCAAACTCTGGTCGGTTGTCTAGAACAGGGGTGTCCAAAGTCGGTCCTTGAGGGCCGGCATCCAGCATGTTTTAGTTCTCTCCCTGGTGGTAGTAACAACCTCCTCAGCAAGTCAGTGTTCTGCTTAGACCTTCTAATGAGCCATCATTTGATGCAGGTGTGTAAAACCAGGGAGAAAACTAAAACATGCAGGATGTCGGCCCTCCAGGACCGACTTTGGACACCCTTGGTCTAGAAAGTACAGTTCATTTGGGGAGGAATGTATCAAACTCTGAAGCGGACTAACTAGTCTAACTCAAACCTTGATCTTGGTTCGGTTTAAGTGAACTCTGGTGTAGTTAGAATGCATATGTGAACTCCAAGTGGACTGGAGACTGCTCTAGAAGCAGGAAGAGGACTACAGCTCAAGGCATTCTGGGTAAATACAATCGAATCAAACGTGAGAGACTTGCTTTAACGGAAGAAATGGCTTGTGGTCTTTAGCCAAAGATGAAAGAGAAATCCTCCAACTGCTAAAATCTGACACCACTCAATTTTTGTTTATGTTTTGTGAAGACGGAAATTGCGCTCAGTGACTTTTTAAGAGGTTTTTTGGTCGTTTCCTTCAGTGGTTCTTGGTGCAGTGCCCCTGCAGGTGAGGAGGGGATCAGGTTGCTCAAAGGGTTTGGTTGGTTTTACACAATGCAGTATGAAAGAGAACCACAGCAGCTGGAGATGGAACAAATGTTGCAATTTTGGTCGCCACCAAACTGAGTCAACCGAACTCAGGTGGGAAACCTCCCTAAGATTAATCCCCATTTTCTCACTCTAAAACATAATATTTCCCCCCACATCTCAATTACTACAAAGTCTATCAAACCAGACAAACATATTGTGGACATGCAGAATTTGTATGTATGACTCTTGCAATTCAATATCCTACCAATTATTATGTCCAAGCTGTCATTTGCAAATGTAGTAAGGCACACATTGATATTGCAGTGACAATTAGGAATCGATGTATTGTGCAGCTATGATGTCTTTAGTTTAACTCAGACTGCAGGTTAAAAAGGATAATAGTGAATTAAAATAGAACAGACTATCAGCATCAAGCTATAACTGTTTTATCAGGCAAATGGGGAAATCTTTAAATCCTTCCTAGACATACCAACCACTCAAAGTACTTTACACTTTCCCACTCAGCACAGATCACTAGAAAACGTGGGGTTAAGTATCTTTGCCCAGGGGAACACCAATATGCAAGATGCTGTATATAAAGCCACAACTTTCAGGTTGTAAGAGTTGCCATCGGATGCTGTCGGCGGCTGGTTAGATTTAATTGAAATTTTCATTATAATTTTTGCTCTGTAGATGAGTGCAAACTCGGATGTTTATTATTGTCCAGGGTAAGACATTGTTTGAATTTGAATGGTTCTGATTTCAATTCTTTGTTTTGATTCTGGTTCCTAATGTGATTTTATTCAGGTGCACTATTGAAAAATTGGTTGCAGTCTGTAGTCCTGCTTTAATGACCCACTTTTTATTGCATTCCAGTTTTTGTTCATGTTTAATTGCAAAAATCAACAAATAGAAAATTGTTCATCACTTTATGAGATCCGAGTAACATTTACACTTAATGATGAAATATTGATGTTGATGTTGTCCACACGTTCCACCACTTCTCCATCCCTTCTCATA